AGCAAACCAAAAAAAAACAAAGGCCGAAATAAGCGCAAGTGTAAGAGTTCAAAAATCACCTTCGCTGAACTATTGGATAAATATCAGAAGAAGAGTGAAGAGAAGAATGCTTAGCGGCCCAATCATGCAAAGAAACCAAAATCAACCCCAAGGCGCAAATATGAGGATTGGTATTGGCAAAGTGAGAATTTTAATGCAACATATTCGTATCCTTATTTTGGGCCGCCAATGCAAATGCCGTGGATGCCTTCCTATGTTCATATAGATCCATATTCATCATGGTACAAATATGATACAAGGGCACATTCTCCATCTTATTTTAGACCATCTCACCAATACTATGCAGCTCTAAGAAGATCAACATTTGAACAATCACGCTTCAAAGACCGTTTCAATCATAAGGAATCGATCCAGAGCTCAAGGAAGAAGAAAGAGGTGGTAAAGTAAGTTTACCACGTGAAAAGAGATGCTCGTAAGTGTGCTACTTCAGATTTGATCTCAAATAAAAAAGAGCCAATGAAAGTGTTTACATTGGCTACTAAAGGCAATGAGATGAAGCAACCAATTATTAAAAGTCAAAGTGCCAAATCTGAAGAAAAGAAGTTGAGAATGCACAAGGCCAAAAAGGAATTGCCATTGGTCAAGACAGAACCACAACCGAGATGCCCACTCAGCTTATCGTATTGGCAAAAGAAGAAATTACAAAATCTTAGTGCACAAGAGCTGAGAAAGAAGAACATGGCATTGGTTCCCAAGAGGATCAATCAAAACAAAAATGATGCGCATGCTTCTATTGCAACAAGTATGATAAAAGTGAAGAAAGAGAAGGATGGAAGCAACAAACAATTAAGTCGAAGGTGTGCATCACAACATCAAAATTTTCGGTTAGCACATCATCCATTTTCTTCAACCATGCCATTGATGTCTTTGCCATGGAATTCATCCCTAGGTATGATCAATTACCCTCCATGGATTTATTTTGATCCATGGATGCAACATAATTTTCTATATCATGAGAGGGTATTACCAAATCACTATACATTTGGTTAGTTACATTTTTGTTGCTAATACAAGGGGCCGAAATATTTTATTGCTATTTTATTTGTTTGTTTCGGCTATACATAGTTTGGTGGGTGAACTCTACATGGCCCTCATGGTAATGGCCGATATTTATCTATCGCCCTAAGAATATGTCAAATCATGGCCGGTGTAATATCCTAACATCGTGCTTAGTTCAATAGGAGACCAAAACAAGCCTCATGCCACTTAAAATATTTCTGCACAATAATCACAGCTGAATATGAATTTTTATTCGGTTTGGAGCTTTTGGTTGCCATATGTGCTATACATATTGAGGCTTTCGATGATTTGTTATGAGTAGTACAACAAATATACAAGGATTATCAATGTTTTGACGAATCACTTATAATTTATCTTGAGGCACGTCTAGATGTAATATCTTCCTTGGGTTGCATGAAATTATTCCCACATCTAGACATGACAATTCAAAAGAGTTGACACAGCAAAGCATCCGGCTACTATGTTACTCTTGGTGCATTGCATTTCTATCAATAGCCGATGCTTAGTCTCGTCAGAATAGGTAAGGCCGAACCGAAGTCCACCGCTTCGACCACTAATGAATTTTTCTTATGCAGGCGAAAGTAAGGATTGGAGAAAGTTTATTGTTGATTATCTGCAAAATCCTAGCAAAATGGTGAATAATATGGTTCCGAGGATGACCTTCAGATACATATCTGTGGAACTTTATCATTGGATTGTTAATGAAGTTGAGAAGGTTTCACGAAAGTTTGCATCAAGGATTCAAACAAATAATAGCCGATATATATTTATCGCCCTAAGCACATGCAAAGTGGCCGATGGAGTGTTGACATTGTCCTTAGCACCAACACGGTACAAGTTATTTTTCGGCACGCTAGTTTTGCCAAAAAACAGGGGGGCATGTATTGATGCTCGAAAATGGCATGATGGCAAAGAGCGTTACAGTCTTGCATCTTGCATCTTTGCTTGACCGGAATCTTTTTCTGCTACAGACTTTAGAAAATGGCCCGAAACACCATCAAGATGACCTCAGATCAAAAAGTGTTCAACATGAAAGTTGTGCGTCTCGTCGAGGTGGTTGATTATGGTATAAAAACCGTCCAAATCAGAGGTCGTATGTGGATTCTAGAGCCAAAACAGTGATCTGCTGTCAGAAAACTGGACTAAGCCGGATCATCCGGGCCGGAGGTCGTGAGAAGTCCGAGTTTGGTTAGATTTTGATGATTTGAACGGCAAGGCAAGTTATTTTCTTGTACGGGAAGTCCATCTGCCTCTTATATAGATAAAAGGTGACAGCCGATTGGACAATAACACACAATCGAACAAATCTACCTACACTTTTTACCTTTACTTTTCCTTCTCCCTTGTCCTTCTTTTTCCTCGTTCTTCGCATGTTCTTCTTGTTGCAGGGCGGCGAACCTCGAGGCCCTAGGGGCGATCAGGTCGACCTAGGGCAGCCCATAGCCACCGCGCGCCCTGACGGGGTCCCTCCCGGACGTATGGGGTTTCGGGTCCTCAAAAGCGCCCGCCGGATTGCTTGCGTACTACGCTTCCGGACAGGTCTCCTTCGACGTGAGCTGTGGTGCATCACCCCCGGCGTCGAGGGTACACGGTGACGTGTTCGTGTGCGAACACCGACGAACGAGTTGTCATCGAGTCGAGTCTATAACAACGGACTTGACAAACCCATGACTCGCATCTTATACATGAGGCATACCATTCACCGCAGACACAGCCCAGGAGCGAATACTGTAGCAACATCGCTGTAGATGGCACTGCACGCGAATCACTGTAGTTTGGGTATTGTTCACGAGTTCATGTAGACGAATCACTGTACACGAATCACTGTACGCGAATCACTGTAGTTTGGGTATTGTTCACGAGTTCATGTAGACGAATCACTGTACGCGAATCACTGTAGTTTGGGTATTGTTCACGAGTTCATGTAGACGAATCACTGTACGCGAATCACTGTAGTTTGGCTATTGTTCACGAGTTCATGTAGACGAATCACTGTAGTTTGGGTACTGTTCACAAAGATCCATCCGTCGATCTTTGATCCAACATTTTGGAGAGGGGGGCCAGGCACCATACTGTTCACCGGTGACTTGTCCACAGCAAGTCACCGGATCTCAGTTGGGTGGGGGGCCTCTCACTGAACTATCACTGGACGGTCCATAAACTGGCATAACGCCACCATTAATGTGTAATTTTGGTCCTGGACTGGGTTGTGCCCGTGTGCCTTACTTTGGGTCCAGAAACGAATTTTAATGTGTAACCATCTCAAAGAAGAAAATGAAACTAGCTTGTAAAAGAAGCACATTAAACCTTACGAGCAAAAAGATACTAAATATCTCGACTTTTTACACTAAGCACTGTAACTACCCAAACAAATCACTCCATTGAAGCATAAACTCATCAGTTCCAGCCTGCATGGCTACAGTAATAGCCAAGCAATCAAGCTTTTTACAGGACTCCCTTAAGATCAAACTCTGGCGGCGTCATCTGCCCCTCACTTTCTAGTAAACCACCCCCCATCCAATATTCACAAATGCAAAAAATGTCTTTCAGGTCCCCAACAAGAATTTGAAGCCCAGGCACTCTGCGTGGAGAGAGGGTTGCAAAGGGGAGTCACTTTATGGATTTTTCAGAGCAGCCAGCCTCTGCTCGAGCTCTTCCAATTCCGAACTGTAAGCATGGTAACCAGTGTCATTAACATGGCAACTTATATCAGGTATAGGTGTAAATTCATGGAAGCAAGGGGAGCAGTCGTAAGCCCAATATTGAGTGAAAAAAAGATCAAGAGTACATAAATAGCTGTTGGAGATAAGTGTGTGTCAGCAATGGTCGAAGTAATAAGATCCTACACCAGATCATGTTTAATTCTTTTAAAGAAATGCAGACAAAATATCATGAATACAAAATCAAAGCAAGTGTTCTACTTCGAAACTACTTTATCCTTCTTTTTTATTCGGTACACAAAAACATATGATTACGACTTTAAGAGTTTACTCTTTTTAAATAGGATTTAATAACTATTCCGATGTGTTGCATAAGGACATCAGTGGGGAGCTAAGGTAGTCTTGATCCATCGCAGTTTGAAGTTCAAAAAATATATTACCTCCGTACCAAAAAGCTTGTCTTAGATCTGTCTAGATACGGATGTATCTAACGTGTCTAGATACATCTAAGACAAGCTTTTTGGGACGGAGGGAGTAGTAGCCTGGATTCCTTAACAAGGTATGAAGGGTCCAAGGGGGGTATAAAAATGAAGAAAATAAACGATTACAGATCCAGGATCCTGCATACCTCTCATCAGCCTGAACCTTCTTTCCAGCAATTCTTCCTTTGGGAGCCGAGGACAACTGCAAAACAATATCAGGAAGAGAGAAATTTAGAACAAGAGTTAGAATCATAGTAATGAAAAAGGGGTTGCACTGGTAGCTTCAAATACCTGTGAGGCAACGTCAACACCAATCTCGTCGAGCACCTAAAAGAGACATTGAAAAGAATGAATAATCGAAGAAACATGCTAGGTAGAGTCTTTCAAAGAGATGCTACCAATTTGGATTGAGGTTGGACACTGGAAATAACCTGGTTAGCAAGCTCTTCAGTTTCGTCCTCAGCCTGGTCATCGTCTAAGACATTGTCGATTGAGTCTGACATCATCTCGTTCTGCACAAATAACAAGGATAGTCAGTGCATACAGGTGCATACACTTTGTCATAATCTAATACACAGGAACCCATCACATGCTTGTGAGCTTCCCAGGAAAACAATGTAAAATCTTGTCAAATTGAAAGCAATCATTCTATGAAAGTAGGACGGCCATAAGTTGCATACCGTCATATCCATTTGTGCTGACTGCTTTTGGAATTCTTGCATTACTTTCATTTGCTTGGCGGGATCCATTTGCTGCAACAAAAGTAAAACAAAATTTATAGTAGAACATGTGTTCCAATTCTTACAAAATTGTGCTCTACAGCCCAGAACAAAGACATACAGAAAGTTACTACTGCAAGATATTTAAGTTCAAAGATACTGTGTTAGTATACACTTGGTTTTTAAATTTTAAACACCTGGAATGTATCATGCCAATAAGTTAGGTAGGCTATTACCTTGTTCATAGCTCCCATCGCTTTACTCGCACTTTGCATGCCAGCAGACACTGAAGTGTTGGCCTGCATCGCCTAAGGACAGAGTACGGCAACAAAATAAGAAAATTAACTCACCACCATGTGTGGAAGAAAGAAAAAACAAGGAAAATATTCACCTGTGTGTGTGTCGCGATGCCACGAATCTGAGCTCGGCTACCTTGTAAAGTAGATATTTTCTGTCTTAACCTGATCAGTTGACGGGCCAGAATTTTAGTTGCGGCCTGCCAAATAGAAGGGAATCAGGAGAACCATACTGCATGATTTAGAACAAAATTAGTGCGTCAAACTGAAATATAAGAAATAAAACCTCATTGCCAGTTTTTGCAGTCCTTTTGATTTCAGCAACTAGTCTCTTTTCCTAATTGGAACAAAAAACAAGGTGAAGCTGTGGTTACTGCTTGTTCAACTGGTAGAAATAAAATAGAGAAACACAGCAAGAAAATATGTGTGCGTCATATGGAGTGTGAAATATGTGAAGAACTACGTGGAGCAGGCTTTAACAACTTGTCAAATGACTGAACGTATAAAGTCATTCCATTGGCAGGTATCTTGAGCATTTTTTTTTCTCATTAACCACAAAAGACAGGGTATGTGATTAAACATACAGACCTCTTGTTGTAATGTCCCGATGTCCCTCTCAATACCTACAGATGACACATCTCAGGAATTAGATCATCTCGAAGCCTGCATAGTTGAACTATTGGGAGAATGGCTAGCATGCTTTTCTATAAAATGCCATAGTTGACATTAACCGAAATTCTCAACATGTGGTTTCTAGGACAGGATGCAGAATAGTATTTCCCTCCATGTTTCATAATCCAGTCAAACCTCAACTCCTTGAGTTTCAACAACTTTTTTAGCAAACATGCAAAAGCTTGGAGCGTATGTGTATTATGATACTGTAGAATGTAAGGAATCACAGATGGTATGTCAAACCGTGCTATACATCAGCCCAGGGCTGTGAGTACATAATATTCAATTTCAATCAAATTTCGAGCATTTGGGTAGCTGTGGCCATAAAATTAGTACCATTCAATTTACACAAAATAACAGGGATTGAACCTTAAATCAGAAGATAACCTAGATGGAAACTACAATTGCCTCGAACCGTTGATCAGAAACAATCGAATATAATGAAGCAGCCTTCGATTCAACTTGCATTAATTAGGTTCAAACTACAGCTAGCACATGTAACTTGGTATACTCTGACCTAATAACTAACTAGCATTTAAAAATGGCAATCCACTTGAGCGCCAAGTGTGCCGGAGTACAAACTACTCACCTCTTGTCGCGTTCGTCAGCTCCCGCTTGCTGTTCCTGATCGCCTCTGCACAGCAGAAACCGCAATCAGGGATTCAGAGCTCAGGGCAGAACGATTGAGCTAGACACAGGCGTACGAAACCCTAGGATCATCCCCGAAAGCAATCTGATCGATCAGAACTCGAGCTACGCAACGCCGGCGCGCGAAGCGCAAATTGGGAAAGGATCGCGTGAACCGAGGGCAAATTCGGTGAAATTTTGAACGGTGAGGAAGGGGAGGGGGTGAGTCGTACCTCGCGGCGTTGGCTTCTTCGCGAAGGGATTCATCGCTTCCTCGGTGCGCTCGCCGCCGGGAGGAATCGAGGAGGGGCGGTGGGGCGTGGGAGAAGAAGGCCGGCTAACGCGTACGTGGGGGGATGGATTGTTTGTTCGGGTTCTTCCTGGTAGTTGCGCGGAAGGGCTACCTCGACTGACCGACTGGTCCTTTTTTTTTTTCCTTTTTTATTTAAAAGAAAGGCAGAGCAGTTTCTGCCTTGTGCATTTCAAAACAGGTATAAAACCTGAGTGACCGAGGTCAACTACATGAAGGCAATGTTAGGACATGCATAATGATCCTATCTTAGCAATGCCACGTAGGATAAATGATGAGATGGATGAGAGAGAAATCTTAAGAAAAGGCTTGTCTTCTTCTATTTAAGAGAAGACAAGAGATGATCTCTTAACACAATATATCTCATCACGTTTTTAGGAATAGTTAATTATTAAAGATAAGGCTAAAAAATGACCCATTGTAGACATGTCATCTTGTCATCTCTACATGCAAAACTTAAGATAAAACTATCTTATCAACCATTGTACATGACCTTAGCACTGCATGGAAAGTGCGCCATTACCAAAGCCGTGCTAAGCTAGAAACAGAGGAGTAGAAGGAGTACATGTAAAGATACATGAGAGCCTATCTAAAGCTCTCCCACCGGTGAAGCATGACCTGCTGGTCTGCATTTTTCTTGAGTCAATTACAGCGGTGGTGCTAGAACTTGGCGCAAACGATCACTTTAGTGCTACAAGTTGTGGCATACATTAAAATGGTGTAAAAACTTGGCTTCGACGTGCAAATACAGTGCTTATCTCGCTTGTATACAGAATCAATGCTGACTAGGCGCGTGGAGCCCGCTGCCGCTGGATCGGGAGAAGGGGTGGGTGACTTTTTTTTTCTTTTCAGAAACACCCTCAAAATATATTTTTTAGAAAAATAAAACTATTGACGTGGGATTTTTTTTAATCTCTAAGATCAGTCGGGAGAGAGTGAAAATCACAGGCAGGAGCATGACCTGCTGGTCTGCATTTTTCTTGAGTCAATTACAACGGTGGTGCTAGAACTTGGCGCAAACGATCACTTTAGTGCTACAAGTTGTGGCATACATTAAAATGGTGTAAAAACTTGGCTTCGACGTGCAAATACAGTGCTTATCTCGCTTGTATACAGAATCAATGCTGACTAGGCGCGTGGAGCCCGCTGCCGCTGGATCGGGAGAAGGGGTGGGTGACTTTTTTTTTCTTTTCAGAAACACCCTCAAAATATATTTTTTAGAAAAATAAAACTATTGACGTGGGATTTTTTTTAATCTCTAAGATCAGTCGGGAGAGAGTGAAAATCACAGGCAGGAGAGTGTGAAAATTAAACTAAAAGTTGGGCTGCACACAATCGAACCAACGATCAGCAAATAGCGTGCAAGCCGGCTAGCCAATGAACCCACCTCGCTACCATGTTCGCTTTGGATAAGGACGTTATATGTACTTAAGCAGTACGCATGTGGAACTTATATGGGCGGCCCATACTGCGGCAATTCTCACCGGTTGTTTTTAATTTATTTTTCTAAAATGTAAGTAATAAAATTTACGTTCAAATATTTGTATGTTATAAATATTAGACATACAAACAATGATTATTAACTAAAAAACTAAATATACATCCGTGCATTATACAAAAAATATTTAGTTAATATCGTCAATAAAAATTATCACACACTCGCGGCTTATATTTAAATTATTAAAAATTAATATTAATATCAACAGTTTCAATTTTAAATTCTAAATAACTTTAATTAAACAAACATTTAAGTATACAAACGTGCAAATGATTGAAATGTTTGTATAACTAAAATAATTTTTTGAAATTTAGTTCTAACAATATTTGTTATTATTTTAAATCATAGAATCTTTTTGTAGCTAGATATATGATTATTTTCTATACACTAAGTGAACAGTTTTTTTTAAAAAAAATTCATTCATATGTGCAATATTTTTGCACATAAATATTCAAACTTTTATGTTAGTTCTGAGATTATAATTTACGTACTTTTTACAAATAAAATAGAAAAAACCGAACTAGTGTAAAATGGGCCGCAGTATCTGCAGCCCGTTTAAATTCCACATGCTTCGAAGTTAAATACATATAATTGTTTCTCAAAAAAAGTTAAATACATATAAGTTTGTTATCCATTGTGTACACGGGAACGTGAATGTGAGAGTGGATTAGCCAGCTTGCTTCTTACGTCTCGGTTGTGTGTTTGAGACAGGGACCGTATGTTTTGTTTAATTTTCACTCTCACCTGACAGGTGGGACTCACTGTTCATAGAGGTGAAAAAATGGCACCTCTCCCACACCAACAGGTTTTTTTTTGAAAAAATATATTATTTTTTGAGGGTGTTTCTGAAAAAAAACAAGTCACACACCCTCTTCTCCTGGTTCATTGGATCAGGCCTCACACTCCTAGTCAGCGCCGGTTCCGTATGCAAAATGAGATAAACACCATATTTGCACGTTAAAGCCAAGTTTTTGCACCACTTTAATGTATGCCACAACTTCTAGCATCAAAGTGATCGTCTGCACCAAGTTTTAGCATCATCGGTGTAATTGACTCATTTTTCTTTGCCCGATTACGCATAGATGAATCGTCTTTGAGACCTCACTGAGTATTAGAGCATCGGGACATTGTTTGTTATGAAAAACTCAAACATTTTTGGCGCTCCATAATATAACTGCGCACGCAACAAAAAGCACATGTCATAGCTTGTCAATTTTGCACGAAATCAAAGAGGCTATTTGCCTTCACAGTCAGGTCTAGTACCCTGATTTTCTACCAAAGGACATCCGCAGCCTTGCATCTCAGCACCAAGTGGGTAATGGATTCAGTGGCAGGACAAACGTCTGTCATGTGATGCAATAGATTTCCACTTATTTTTAATCATGTTATCTCGAGTATTCAACCTTCCATGGAAGGCTAGCCAGAGAAAAACTCGGTGGCGCATGAGAATAATGTTGTCTCATATGAAAGCAACATGTGGCCAATTCATACCTTTGAAAGTTAGCAAGTCGTAAAAGTATCTCGTTGTTGCTTCACCATTATAAACAGGAAAATTGCTCCACACACAATAGTGTGTGGGCGACCTGTGCACGACCAGCAATCCAGCAGACATTGCTTGGCTGTGGATGAGATTCCCGGGCTACAATTCATCGTCGTGCGCTGGTCATCCAAATTTTGTCGACCGCATAGCACTGCTGTATAAATAGAGGAAAGCCTCTTATCGTTGTGTGCTAGGTTCGGCTGTATGTTACATAGTTTCTCCAGCAGGGTAGCCAGTTGTTGTGTAGCGGTCATAGAGAGATTGTGGTGCAACTGAATGTTCCATTATCCATCATACTGAGAGGCCACCGTGCATAACTTGTTCCTAGCAAAGGTAAAAAAGCGTAGGAAAGGAGTCCCTTAGCCGGCCATTACCTGGCCAACTATCAAACCAGAAAGAAAGCTTGGAGCCGTCCCCTAGCGAACACTTTGTGGCGTTTATGACCAGAGGCATCGAGGTTTTCAAACATCTCCACATGGCTATGTCACCATTGCTGGCCACAATTGGGATGGTGCTTTCACAATATTGTCGCACGGACCAAGTAAAGTAGGGCACTTCACTATCCTACAACACTCTTGTGGTGAAGCGACAGATCATGACCAAATTATGTGCACGAAGATCCCTGATTCCAAGCCCCCCACTATCCTTGGGGAGGGTTACAATATCCCAGGCCGCTAAGCATTGTCCCCCAAGGGCAGATTTCTTTCCTTGCCACAAAAAGCCCCCGAGGATTTGCTCAAGTTTTTCCAGTGGCTCATTTGGCCAGAGAAAACATGCCATATAATAATGGGGTATAGCTGCCATCACGGAGTTTATCATAGTCAGCCTTCCTTCCCAAGAAAGAAAGGTTGCCAGCCAACCAGAGAGTCTATTTTCCACTTGATGTATGACTGCCATCAACATTGCATAGTGATCTTGTTCGTTAAGAGTGGCACGCCCAAGTAGTTACAAGGAAAGGATGAGACCGGACACTCTACCAACTCATAAATCTGTTGGCTGAGAGATTGATCCATGCTAATGGGCACAAAAGTGCTTTTTATTGAAGTTGATCTACAGACGAGTAAAGTCGAAAAAAGATTAAGCAGACTCTTGACAACTTTAGCTTGCTGCACGGTCCCTTCGATGAGCATCAAAGTGTCGTCGACGTACTATAGCATCCGGAAAAAGGAATCAATTCCCAACGGGTATAGCAAATTGCCTCTCCTGAACTCTTCACAACACATATGTTGTAGCACATCTACCGCTAGGATAAATAGGTAGGGCGATAACGGGTCTCCTTGCTGGAGGCCACACTTCAAGAAGATTGGCTCACCCAGTTTTCCATTCAAAGCAACCCTCGCTAAGCTTGTTGAGAGCAGGTTCTTGATCCAAAGGATCCATTTCTGCCCCCCAAACCCTGGTAGCCAGAACTGCAAACAGGTCATCCCAGCTAACACTATCAAAGGCTTTATTGAAGTCTAGCTTCAGGACAATCATTGACTTCTTCTTCTTTTTGGCATACTGGACAAGCTCCGCGTCAAGGGCAAAGTTCTTGGCAATGCATCTACCAGCGAGAAAACCATATTGGAGTGGGTGCACTAGTCTCGGTATCCACAACAGTAGCCTAGTAGTTAAGACCTTTATGGCTAGCTTGGGAAGGCTATGCACTAAAGATATAGGCCGGAAGTCTTGTATATCCATTGCAATATCTTTTTGGGCAGCAACACTACTGATGCAGAGTTGACGCCTGAGATATTAACATTGTTGGCATGAAAGCCATTGAAAAACTTCAGCAAATCAGGTCTTAGAGTTTCCTTAAAGTATATGTAGAACTCGTTAGTGAAACCATTTGGTTCAGGGCTACGGTTGTTCGGGGAACAATTAATTGCAGACACAATCTCAACCCATGAAAACTGCTCCTCTAGCAAACTTAGGTCGAC